TTATATGTAAGGACCCAATATAATATGTTAAGGTGTACTTTTATATAAAAATCTACCGAATGCCGTAAAAATTGAAATAATAAAAAGCATTTTAAGAGTAAGCTAAAATCGTATTAAGTAATATTAAGTAGTAGTAATGCATATCTTCAATTTAAAACATGAATATTGTATTAATAAATCATCATTCATCATCATTACAGCACTTTACAAGTACACTGCTAAACATAGGCCTCCCCTAGGAATACCACAAATCACGGTCTCGAGCCACCTACATTCATCGATTTCCTGCATGTCTTACCTGGTCGTCTCCATCTAGTGAGGGGACACCCTACACTTCCCCTACAGGTATCATGCTGCCATTCGAGAACCTTTCTTCCCCATCAGTTATCGGTTCTTCGAGATTTACGGCCGACACATTGCCACTTCAGCTTACTAATCCATTGGGCTATATCGGTCACTCTGGTTCTCCGGCGGATATCCTCATACCTAAGTTTATCACGCAGTGAAACTCCGAATAAAGCTCTGTCCATATCTCACTGAGCGACTTTGGGCTTCATCATACTGCCTGCAGTGAAATACAACGTCTCAGATTCATAGGTCATCACTGACAACACGCTAGGTTGTACAATCTAGTTTTAAGGTTTTTAGGAATGCCTGACGAGAAGATGTGTCGTAATCTCCTGAACGCTACCAAGCCGAGTTGAATCCGTCAATTAATCCGGCTTCGATTGATATTTATAATTAAATTACTTATAATTAATTTAAAAACTATGTAATTAAGAAATCTATCAGTCCTCTACTATGGGTATGGTTTAAATTGAAGTCTGCCCTCCTATGAAGAGAAACTTACAAAGTTTAACATTATATTACTACAAACTCGATGTAAATTTCAAGATATGACTAACCTTTTCAAAATTATTCATTCCCTTATTGAATCCCCTACACTCCTTTTGTCAAGATTAACACTAAGCCCCTACGTCGGTATACTTTCTTAAACACTTTTGCTTTGCAAGTTTATAGAAATATACTTTCTATTTATTACAATCCTCTTGTAAGAATATTTTGCCTATAGAATTAATTATTGATTAATATTAAAAATATTTATTTATTTATTTATTTAAGCCTTTATTTCCCAAAAAAGAATTACATAAAATTAAATATATTACAAAATTTCATTTACATTTAGAAAACCAATCATGCTTTAAAGAAAATTTTAACAAATATTTAGACTTTTTTTTAAAATTATTAAAAGCAAATAACAATTAACTAGGTACATTTTTAAATTATCAAATATGAAATAATAATAAAATTACATAATCAAACTAATATTAATAAAAATATGAAATAATAAAAGAAATTACATGATCAAACTAATAAAATAAATCAAACGTATATTGAAATCAAATATTAATAATAAGATATGTAGTGGTTAATTATAACATGTTATGAAGATCAATTTACAGCAGATTGGTCACGATAACATAATATTCAATTTTTTATCCTTTTTTCCTAGGATTTGACATTTTATATTATTTATTTGGGTACCCATTTGCGGGTAAAGGCCTCCTCCATCTTTTGCTATTTTTGTTTATCTTGTGCGAGTCTCATCCAGGTTTGTCCAGCTGTGGCCACAATCTCATCACACCACCTTTAGGGTCTACCGCTTGTCCGTGGCACTTCGCGCGGGTTGGAGGACTCTCTCACTTCAACGTCCATCTGTAGCTCTTGCAACTTGGCCTGCCCATCTCCATTTTAATTTACATGCTAACTCTGCAGCATCTATAACTTTGTGGTTTTTCTTATTTCTTTATTTTTTTGTCTATCTCGTAATTTAAGACCTAACATGATCCTCTCTGTTGCACGCTGAAAGACCTGAAGTTTGTTTATTATTGTTTATGTTAGTGCCCAGCTTTGACAGCCATACAGTAGTGTTGGTAGAATAATAGTATCTATTGCCTTCTTTTTTAGTCGCGTCGGTATAGGAGACTTAAATATTTCTTTTAGTGACCAGTATTTTCTCCAAGCACTTTTTATTCTGCGGTCGACTTCATTCTCTGGTTTGAAAAACAAATGTTCTGCCCAAGATAGACATAGCTGTCTACATACTCTATCAATATATTTTGCACCTTCGTAGGCACTCTAACGCTGTTAGTTAGGAATCTCGTTTTTTCAGTATTCATATTGAGTCCGCACTTTCAACTCTCTATATCTGGAGATATCAGCATGTATTCTAGTTCACTATGACTTTCACTGATGAGGATAACGTCGTCAGCGAATCGTAGGTGGCTTAAATACTCGCCATTTATTTTTATGCCAATATTATGCCAATTGAGTTGTCGAAATACATGTTCTAAAATTGTGTTAAATAAATACGGTGAGATAGGATCCCCTTGTCTCACTCCTTTCTGAATATTAAATGGTGTTCCTTTTCTCTCTAATTTAACCACAGCCTTGCTCTGTTTGTATATCTCTTTCAGGATTTTGATATATTTAATATGTACTCCTTGTTCTTGTAGCGTCAGCCATAGGTATGTATGGTATATAGAGTCGAATGCGTTTGAATAGTCTACAAAAGCGATGTAGAGTTTTTTGTTGTATTCATTATATCTTTCAATGATTTGTGTAACAGTGAATATGTGATCATTTGTAGAGAAGCCCGCTCTAAAACCTGCTTGTTCTCTCGGCTGACTTTCTTCTAAAGTTTTTAAAATTCTTTTTAGTAACAAGCTGGTGAATAATTTATATATTGTTTGAAGTAAGCTTATTTGCCTATAATTGCCTATATCTGATGGATCTCCTTTTTTTGTATAGAAGAGTAATTATAGCTGTATGCCAGTCAGAGGGTATCAATTCTTTTGCGAGGATTTGATTGAACAAAATTATTAAGATAAGTGTAAGGGGCTCTTTGATTGCTTTTAATATCTCATTTGTAATTCGGTCTTCTCCGGGACTTTTTAGTGTTTTTAGTTGTTGTATGGCATAGCTTATTTCGCATTCTAAAAAGTGCGGAACGTTTTCACTGTCTTGTAGGTCTAATTATTGGGTTTCTTTTTTTAAAAGACATACGACATTCATACAATGATGTATAGTATTTAGTAGCTATTTCCAATATTTGATTTCGATTAGTTATTTGAGAACCACGTTTTGTCAAATGTGCAATCCAAGTTTTGAGCGAGTCTAATGTTTTATACGCTCTTTTAACTGAGGCTCTCTTTTCCAGTTCTTCTTCAATTATTTTATATCGATGCTCTTTTCGACTATTATTTGTTTTTTAATGAGTTTGTATAAGGCCGAAAGTTGTTTTTTTTTTTCAAAGATTGTTTTATTTTTCTTTTCTTTTAATAGTGTTCTTTCTTTTATAAGTCTAGCAATGTTTTCCTGAATTGGTAGAGTACTTTTACATCTCTTGGGAAGATTGTTGTTGCAGTCTTTGATTTTCGTTACTAAAGTAGTATACGTTTGTTCAATGTTTGTGAATTGCACTTGTTTAACATTATCTGTGAATAAAAACTTTACATATTCTTTTTCTGTGGCTGTTAAACCGGTAGTGGATCTCTTTCCAAAGTGTTTTCTAGATGGATTTCGTTTATGATTAAGTAGTATCGATGCTCTAACTAGTCTGTGATCCTTAGGGTGTGTTGTCGATATCATTTCAATGTTGTGGATACTTGTTATATTTCGTGCTAGGATGTAATCAATTTCATTTCGTGATACTCCATTTGGGTGTATCCAAGTCCATCTACGATTTGGTTTCTTCTTAAAGTATGTGTTTGTTATATGTAATTTATTTTCAAAACAAAAATTAATTAATATGTTGCCCCTTGGGCTTCTCTTACCGTATCCCCATGGGCCCATGATTGACGTGTCATCAGTTGTTGTCACGGCAATCTGAGCATTGAAGTCCCCGACAACCAGTGTGTCCTTATTAGTGTTATTTATTGCTTTTTGGAGATCCTTGTAGAATCTATCTAGGTCTTTTAATGAGGATTGTTCCGTAGGCGCATACACCTGTATTATATTTAACGATTTGCTTTCAAAATTTAGCTCTAATCTAGCAACTCTGTCTGATATTGGTATAAAATCTTTAATATTCTTCTTTAACTCTTTTTTAATTAGAAATCCAACACCGTTTCTGTTTTGTTTTTGACCATAATACATAAAAATATAATCTTTGTTTTCTTTGATTTGTTTTCCTTCTAGTTTCGTTTCAGAAAGTCCTACAATATGCCAGTTTATTTCAGAAATATCATGTTCCAGTTCGATAAATCTTGAAGCATTTATAAGTGATCTCACGTTTAACGTAGCTATGTATAAGTAGTTGTCTTTTTTATTAACAATTTCTTCATGTTTACATATGGAAGGTTGTGGTCTATAACTCCCACGGGGACCAGCCGTGTTGGGAGAGTAAATGTATGTTTTGTTAAAAGCAATTGATTTAGGAGGAGGGACAGGTGGTTGCTACAGTTTATTTTGAATTTCGTTCCGAGAATCGTGAATTTCGTGTTGGTAGCTAGTAGAAGAAGCGGGAGGGTCTAGTTCAGTTTCTTACGATAGCAAATATTTTCTCATATCGACTTTACTCTTCTCATAAGTTCGATGCGCGTGTGAGAGTGATTGTCTGTTTTGTTGTAATGCAATAGAGTTGGTGGATTCTGGTGATTATGATGGTTTTCTTTTTTGATACATTATACATACATACATACATAAACACTCACGCCTGTTACCCAGAGGGGTAGGCAGAGACTACAGACTTCCATTTAGCACGATCCTGACATACCTTTCTCGCCTCTTCCACATCCATATACCTACGCATACATGCTCGTCGGTTAAGGGTACTCTTAATTTGGCCCATTTTTAGTATATCGCCAATTTGGTCGACAAACTTCCGCCTAGGACGTCCCTTTCCGACTCTTCCATTCACTTCTGCGACATATATTTGCTTTGTCAGTCTTTCCGCATTCATTCTTTCTACATGACCAAACCACCGAAGCATTCCTTTCTTAATCCTGATACATTATATTCTCTTTATTTGTACCTAAGTAGACGATTTTGTCACGTCTTAGCACAGCATTTTTACCCTGATTTCTAGCCGTGTCAACCTCTTTCTGGAGTTCTTTTCGTATTTTCAGTACATGTGGTGTAAAATCTTCTTTAATATAATAGTTAGTACAGTCTAATCGCTTTTTTGTTTTTAAAATTTTTATTTTAAGGTTTAATTTACAAAACGTAATCTTAATTGGTCTAGGTTTTTCTCTCTTCCTACCTAGTCTTAAAGCTGATTCTATATCTTGTAAGGTACAATTTGCGTTCAAGTGTTCATTTAAAAGTTTAATAATATTATTTTCTAAATCTTCATAGCTTTTTTCGTTTTCCTCTAGCCCAAATAAAACTATGTTTTTCATCCGTATTTGTCTTTCTATCCTTTCTAATGCATTTTGTTGGTTATTAATAATTTCCTCAAGCTCTTCATTTTTTGTCATAATTTCCTTAAATTTTAAGTTCATATTTTCAATGATAGGCTTTGAAATATTTTCTTGTAAACTTTTTAATTCTTTTCTTTGTTTCGTTATGTCATCCTGCATTTTCTTAAGCATATTTGCTATTTCTTCCATATTGATAAGTTATTTTATTTGTTTGGATGTTATTAAGCGACCTCTTGTGTCAAGTTACTGTATATTTTATTGATTATATTTGATTCAGTACGGTTTGTATTAATTAATATCTTTAAACTCCGCTAGATGGGTTTTACTCGTAACTTCATCTAATTAACAATAGATGGCGCAAAACTTGATAAACTATTTTTAAATGATTCACTGTATTGGTAGTTTGTTTAATTTCATAGGTTATAATTTTGAAAATACAATTATCACATTTTTTCACCAAATTTTTAGTTTCTTTATATTTCATAAGTTTTCTTAAAGCAAAATTTTAATGTGGATTTGCTTCACTTTAACTATTTAATCATATTTATGGTTATAAAGTTCGAAAAGTTCACTTACATATTTAAGTATGAATTAACGGTTTTATTTTTCACATTAATATTACACTATTACTTGTCTAACTTAAACACTTTTGTATTCACTTAATAACACAAATTTTAACTTCTTTTAACAAGAATAACAAATTTTAAATTCAATATAAGTACGGAGCTGACGTGTTTACATGGCATGCAGCGCCCTCTCTCAGTAAAAATATAGACATTTTTAATAAAAAATTAAACAATTTCAAAAAAATCCGTATTATAAATACTTTGTAAATAAGGCATTCAAGGCTTACAATTTAAATTTAAATATATAGGTACATGAATATTATTTTAACAAAGATTTAATTTTTCAATTTTTTCCACAACACAAGTTTATAAGTACATTGTCTTTATATGTCTCGGTAATACCCTATCCTTTCCAGTCCAGTAGTTTGAAAACATCTTCCAATGCAGTGTTGAAGAATTTCGGATATATTACGTTGCCCTGTCTTATGTCGCCTACACGTTGGCCAACACAGTGGCGAATGGAGTGGCGAACATAATGGCCGAGAGTTGGTGACGGCGTCCACACGTTGGAAGGTCGTTCAGTTTATTTCGGTTCGGGCCAATGTGCGGACGGAATTTATAAGCACCGTGGCGCAGTGGCTCAGGAATGAGTGGCTGCGTCGTGCGCCGCGGGTTTGAACCCGCACGGAACAAGTATTTGTATGTCCTACAAATAATTGTTTCGGATCTGGATGTGTGTCCTTGTGCAATTTATGTTTGTAAACTGCCTGCGCGATACTGGAGAAATCCTAGTGTGGGGTTAATGTTTTTATAAAAGAATTATAAAATAATAGTGGTTATTAATGGTTATGGTGGGCTGTAAATAGATATACGATATTATACAACTAGCTTTATTTATTCTTTACATCACTGACCTCTATATATACAAGTACGCTGGACTGGCTATACCATAGAAAATGACTGTGCCAATTTGAAGCGCCGCTAAAGGATGTCTTTAAAAATAAAATTGACATAATATGTCAAAGTCTGTTGTCTCATTTATATTGTCTTATTTAATAAGTCCGTATTTTGAACTTTTAAACTAAAAAACGAAAGTATTTTATGTTATTTCATCGTGTATAATATTAGTTACATAATAAGAATTATTTTTACTAATAATGAGAGTGTGCGTAATCTGTAAAACTCGTTACCAAAAGGGAAGTGGTATAACATTTCACAAGTAAGTGAATTTGCAGCAAATATTAAACAAATTAAAACCATTTGATAACATAAGTACTTAAAAATTTGTTTCTAATCTTAATATTATATATAACAACATCTTTGGCTATATATTACTGATTTTTGATAAACAATAAAATTCAATAGGGTTGTCGAGTTCCTTGTCTATAATACTTATCGATGTTCTTTCCTACCCATATCTGATAACAAACAAAGTTGCCAACAACAGTTGATTATCAAATGTTTATTAATTAACAGGTTTCCACTTGAACCTAGACTAAAAATATGGCTTAAAAGCATAAATATTGTGAATTGGCGTCCGAAACAAAATGATCATATTTGTTCCAAACATTTCACAGAAGACTGTTTTATTAGACATGAGAACTGCACCACTTTGAAAAAGTGCAGTATACCGACCATATTTTCTGGTAGTACCAGTACCAGTAAGTATAAAGGTATTAGATTATTATTTCGAATGATTTTTTATTTCTTCTTTCCTCATTTTCCACCAAACTCAAGGGCCATAGCCAAGTGTCGAAAGGTCACCTGATGATGTCGAGCCACGTTGTATGTGTTTTAGTGGGCTGCGGCTAGAGAAGATTCCTCTCCCTGTACCGCTGTAGTCGAGGTGGAGTCGTAAGGGAAGAGGAGTGTTGGTATGGCGATTGGCGATGCGCCACTCGTCTATCTTTTGCGACTTTGGTGAGGCTGCACCACTTGATGCTTTCAAGTGCTCGTTTTTCCCTGGCTCCATTCACATATCGGGCTCGGGGAGTCCGTAGTGCAGGTGGAGTTAGAGGACGTGAAGAGCAGTGTGGCTTGTTTCTGGTGCGCCTTACCTGAGAATGACTAAGGAGGGGCCGCCATTGGACGGCTGGCGGCGTAGGGGCCATAGATGTGCATGAAAGCATTTCCGTGGAACTGCCAATTTGCGGCGGAGGTAGAACACCATGTGGTTTTAGTAAGTGCGACTCTAGAGATTTAATTATCTCTCGAGTCTCAAAATTTAATTTGTGCCTTAACTTCATAGTGGCACTACTTTAGTTTCCTTCTTATTTAGAAATTCTTGCCATCGTTTACATTCACGGTTTTTGGCAGCTTCCTCTCGCACAACATCCACCGACAAAGATAATCAAGTGTTCGATCAAGAACCCATGGATTGCGATACGTCAAGTCACCCAGAATACGTGGCACTGCCGAAGCTGGAAAGCTTAGGAGCTAGTGCAATATGCGCCGATAAAGGTGATCCGTATTTTGATCTCAAAACTATGGAAGTAGATACGTTGCTGCCTCCAGAATACATGGAGCTGCCCGAGATTGAGAGCCTGGAAAGTTCTTCTTTTTTATGTTAGTATCTTGATTTTTCTTTTCTTTTTTATTACAAACAAACCGTGGCAAATGTCATGTGTAATTTTCTTAATTGTTGTTTTTTCGTGTTATTTATCAATATAAATTTGGTATACAGGTCAGAACACAAGTTGCTACCGGGAACAGACTGTCACTTCAAAGAAGGTTTTGTCTATTTCTGAAGTCCGTAATAATATCAAGCATGATCATCGTTATGAATACTCCCCTAGATCATCCAAAAAGACATTGGAACGAGTTCAGAAATCTTTGAAAAACACACGAGCTCGTATAAAAGTCCTATCCCAACATGTGAAACGATTAAAGGTCAGAATTACTTGTTTAAGAAACGTAATTATTGAATTAAAGAGAAGAAAATTAATTAACGATGACTGTGCAAATCTATTACATCTGTATGACGACTTCAAGCCACAATTGTTTAAAAGGATGATATTAAATACTGGTAAAAATGTCAGCCATGCTAAGTATCCCCCGGAATTAAGAGCTTTTGCTATAACTCTCCATTTTTACTCACCAAAAGCATACGCTTTCGTCAGAAAAAAGTTTAATATAGCATTACCACATCCAAGGGTAATACGCTCCTGGTATAGCTCTATAGATTCGAATCCGGGGTTCTTAGTTGAAAGTTTTAATGCTTTACTACTTAAAAGTAACCAAGCAAAACAGAATGGAGAAACACTAATTTGTGCTTTGATCATAGACGAAATGAGCTTAAAGAAAAGTTGCTCTCGCAGTCGTGATGGTGCAACGCGTGGTTATGTTGATTTTGGCATTGATTCCGAATGTAATGATTTACCCGATTGTAAGGACGCATTGGTTTTTATGATTGTTCCGTTAAAAGGCCATTGGAAAATACCAATCGCCTATTTTTTTATTAATGGGTTGCCTGCTGAAACAAAGAGTGCCTTAATTAAACAGGCTTTAATTCGCTTGCACGATGTTTCAGTAAAAATATGCTCCATAACTTTAGATGGACCACCCGAGAATTTTTCTACGGTAGCTAAACTAGGGGTAGTGTTGAAAGCAGGAAACGACACTAAACCTTTCTTTTATCACCCAATAGACAAGAACCACAAGATTTATGTAGTATTTGATCCCTGTCATATGCTTAAAAATATTAGAAATTGTTTAGGTGACTTAAAGGTTTTAAAGGATCACGAAGGGAATTCAATAAAGTGGGAATATATTGAAAATTTGGCAGCATTGCAGGAATCTGAGGGCCTGAGGTTAGGAAATCGACTAAGGAGTTCGCATATACATTATAAAAAAAATGATAATGAAAGTTTATCTTGCAGCTCAAATACTTAGTAGCAGTGTAGCAGATGCAATTGAATTTTGCGACATTATTTTACAACTTCCAGAATTTAAAGGTACAGCTTCAACAGTTAGATTTATAAGAGCAGTTGACCGTATTTTTGATTTTTTGAATGTAAGAAATCCATGGGGGTGTGGATATAAAAGTCCACTCAGGACTACAAACGAGAAAAGGTGGAGGTCTAAAATAATGGAGGAAATTAATTACCTTAGCAAAATAAAACTACATGATGATAGATTGGTGGTACAATCACGCCGTAAAGCAGGTTTTTTGGGGTTTTACAATGCAGTTATTTCTGTTCTTCATATTTACGACAGCTATGTTAAAGCAGATAAGCCTGAACTTAAATATTTGTTGACGTACAAGTTAAGTCAAGATCACTTGGAATTATTTTTTTGTGCGATTCGTAGCCGAGGTGGTTGGTGTCCAAATCCAACTGCCGCTCAGTTTGTAAACGCATTTAAGCAATTGTTAATTCACCATGAAATAACTAATTCCACGGGTAATGTCCAGGGAAACGACTTATCAATATTAGCTGTATCTTCTGGTTCTTCAAAAGGGGCTAAAATCAACAAATTTAATGTAGATGACTATAGCAATGCTGAACATATACGTACAATAAAAAAATATCGTTTAGAAGAAATAGATTCGCCAAACCTACATGATGAAATAAGTGAATTTTTACACCTGTTTTGGGCAGTACCTGATTCAAACATAAACGAAAC